GCTCGGCATTGCCACCACTACCGTACGGTGGCAAGCCCGTCGGCCCCTTGTCTCTGATTCCACAACACTCACACTGGTTTCCCATAGCGATTGCTCTAGACTCTAGGCTACCAAGCGCTGAACCGAACCGGCACCGTGCAAACGAGCACAATGCGAAGGGTGTCCACAGGAGGACAAACCAGGGTTGACAGAAACGGCTTCAAAAAGAGAGATTTGTAAATTCTGCACCCTCAGCCTCCGTACGGATGGAGCGAAGCGGAATGCCATTAGAAGCCTGTGGTGTAAGACTCAAACCCGCGGCCCCAGACCCTCCCCTCCAAACGTCAGGGCCGCGGCTAGGGCAGAGGAAAGGACGGTGGCCAAGAAGTACACTGCCACCTGTGGCAGCGACTGCCTGGCAGCAGGATGCTTGCAGATACACGACAGCCATTCTTGGCTCAGTCTCCGCTCAGGTAACCAAAGAAAACCGATGCAGTTCTTGTCCTGGTCCACGGTACAGCCTTAACTGCTCTAACTCTGTTGAACTCTATTGCCCGAAACACTCAACTCGAAACCCTAAATCTAATCCTACATCCTACAAAACCAACTCGTTTCTGACTCGGTCCGGCTTCGACATGGGGCTTACTTGTAGGGTTCTAAGGATATAGTTATAGGGTTTGGACTTGGTATAAGTGCAGAGCCTAAACCCCCATCCCAAATCCGATAAACCCACCCACAAAAAAACTGAACCCTAAACCCTAAACCCCGAAACCCGAGCTGGAAGCGGGTCGAGAGTACCCGAGCTCCCACAGGAGGGACGTCGGCTGATCCAGCATCTGCAGCATGGCCCTCAGTCGCTCGGGTTTAGGGGCAAGGGTCTATACTTGGAGGATCATGGAACTTAGTAACTAGGGTTATAAACAAGGTAACTATACTTTATAACCCCACTTAGGGTACTTATAACCTTACTTACTAAGTTCCATGGTCCTCCAAGTATGGTTTAGGATTTAGGGTTTCGGGTTCGGGCGAGTCTAAGGTTTAGGATTGAGGCTTACAGATTTGGAAATTGGGGTTTTTGTGTTTTCGCAGTTACCAGGCAGCGTTGACGATTTTGAGTTGGGGGGAAAAAGGGTAGCTGGAAATGAGTTTACCTATAGTCTCCATTGTAGTTCCTTGTTGGGGATGCCTTATAAAATCCTTAATATATAACTGGGTAAACCAAAAGAAGGAACTACAATGGAGACTACAGGTATCCATTTTAAAGCAACTTCGGACCTTGGAATAAATCTACCCACTGACCAAGATCAACCACTCGGAGGTAAAATGCAAAGTACAGGTCTGTAGCTCGGCTTACGGATTCCCTACTTGTCCCCCAACAGCCGCCCTTGTTGATGTCTGATTCCTTCGGCTGCAAAACTGCTAATGCTATGAGCACCTGATGAACTTGTCATGTCAAGAATCGCCACTACCGCAAGTCTAGCACCCGGACTTACACGAAGATCGAGGTTCCATGTTTGTGATAACTTGGCCTCTCGCTTTCGCAGTCTGCAGTCTTGAGCGACAGCCTTGTTCCTAAACCCTAAACCCTAAACTCTAAACCCTAAATTACTAAACCCTCAACCCTAAACCCTAAACCCTAAATTACTAAACCCTAAACCCTAAATTACTAAACCCTAAACCCTAAACCCTAAACTCGACAATTAAAGGTCATCCTGAAGCCCTCAACTCTGGCACTTGCAACCCTTGAACTTCCCCTAAACCTCCCAGAGAACCCAATACCCCTTAACTAAGGAATATGCCTTAAGCCATAATACTGAGGCCCCTATAATTTAAGGTATATTCAATATGCCTTAAATTATAGGGGCCTCAATATTATGGCTTAAGGCATATTCCTTAGTATATTCCTTAATTAAGGGGTATTGGGTTACCTACTGTTTGGTACGGTCCCGAAAGTGTGCAGTCCGGTGTCAACAGTACGTCATGGTACTGTAGCTCAAGCAAGGCTCTAAAAGCCCTCTAATCCCTGTCTGCCAGGTGCGTGGCGACAGCGAGTTCGAAACGCTGCCCGAAAGGACAGTGACGCCGATGGTTGCCAGCTGGAAGCGCCAATACCTTCAGCAGCATCGGCTTTATCCGGATTGCGGCCACTGCAGGGTTTAGGGTTTAGGGTTTAGGGTTAACCTTGAACACACAACGAAATCCCTGAACCTGCGGCGGCGCTATCTAAATTGGGCATCGGTTACTGGCGTCGGTAAACGCGTACGCACCAAGCAGTACTGTACAAACCAAAGTTACAGGTTTCCGAAATTAGAATCCCGGCCCTCTCTGGGCATGCAGGTGGCATACTGGGATCTTCGCCGGTACAACTTACAAGTATGATAACTAAGCCCTGACATCCTAAAGACCAAGCCTAAACCCAGGAAGCGTTAGAAACCCTACAAGCCCTACTAAGCGGCAGGGTTTGCGGCTTTGCAGGCCACGAGGGCTGGGACGCCTAAAGCTCTAAATATCTCCTGTTCTTGCGCCCATGCAGTTTTGTTCTTCTCTACGCTGACAAATGACCGTGAACCAGTGGTTGGCTGTCGCTGTCGCTGTGGCTGCTGTTGTTTTTATGGTTGCTGTTGTGGTTGTGAACACTATCGTGTTTCTGGTTTAGAGTTCAACAGTTTTTGGCAAGCCCTTGTGCTTCTCTTCAACTTCCTTTCCCGGTTTAGGGTTTAGGGTTTAGGGCTTCGGGTTTAGGGCTTATAGGGCTTAGGGCTCAGGGCCGGCCTTCGCATGGTGAGCATCTGCAGCCCACTCCAGGACTTGAGGCCCTCGTAGCGAAAGGCAATCCGATGCCTCGGGCGTCGGAAGTTCTGAGACCAAAGGATTAATGTAGGCGCCTTAATGTAATGATTGGAATAGGGTTTTGGGGTGTATTATACTAAAACTATAACAAGAAACCCCCAAAAATACTATAGGTAGTTATTATGAAGGCCCCTATATTAGCGGCACGAGCTGTTCTAGGCAGGCGTCGGGTTCAGGGGCCCAGAGTGAGATATGCGGCTGTGGCCACACAAAATCCGACATGTTTCGGCTGCCGACGCAGAGAACCCAATACCCCTTAATTCGGAATATACCTTGAACTATAAGGGCCTTAATATTATGATTTAATAGGATTTAATGTATATTCCTTGTTTCAAGGGTATCGGGTTCTCTCAGAACCTGCAACCATCGGACTCGCACTGATCGCCGAGTGCTGCTGCGGTCGCGAAGAAACTTCAGTCCATGCGGACCGTGAAGTCCAAATGTCCTGGAACCCTAAACCCTAAATAATACAGGGGCCGTAATTTTTGGAGCATACCTGTAGTCTCCATTGTATGTTTTTTGGTTTAACCAATTATATATTGAGGATTTCATGAGGCATCCCCAAAAAGGAACTACAATGGAGACGATAGGTAATATACTATAAATATAACAAGGAGCCCCAAAAATGGTATTAGGCCCCTACATTACCCAAATCCCGGTTCCCAAACCCTAAACCCTAAACCCTAACCCTAAACCCTAAACCCTAAACCCTTACCCAAATCCCGGTTCCCAAACCCCTGACAACCTCCCGAGAACCGACCTGTCTCTGCTGCCGAGGCAGTGACAAGACAATGGGCAAGACCTCCAACCTTGAATGGCACAGCAGCTCAGGGTTTAGGGTTTAGGGTTTAGGGTTTAGGGTTTAGGGTTTAGGATGGGAGCTGCGGAACTCGTGGAATGAGGTGCGCCCTGGCACATGTTGCATGTGTCTCGAATGCAACCGTCGCGATTTCGTCTGTGACAAAAGTAGCTGCAGACACTGCGTACTTTAAGCTAATTCGGCCTACTACGGGAATGAAGCCATTTTCTGACAAATTCTTTGGATCGGTGAGTCAGCCGAACACAGATCGAAAGTTCAACCAGCCTACGGACTTCCGCAACAAATGCACAAACTGCTTCTCCTGTTATGTTGTGTACCGCGAAGAGTGGGTGTACGAGTTAGTTCCAAGCAAAGCGTGCCCAGAATCAAGCTGCCACTATACCGTGCGAGCAAGAACTTACCTGCGCGACTGACACGGGTGCAAAAGCTAGTCTGCCTGCATAAGATCTTGCTGAACTCAATGAGCCCCCACCGACAGGTGTCTGAGTACGAGACAAGGCCAGCAGTGCCAAGACCTTGCTCCGGCTGTGTGGTTTTAGGGTTTTAGGGTTTAAGGAACTTGCATGTGCGCTGACTTTATTGCTGCTGCCTCCCCCCTCCCTTTATGTAGAAGTGCTTGGCTGTTCACCCCCCAAACATCAAGCCTAGCACCATGTTAATGTTGTGTACACGTGGCTCCACACCCTAAACCCAAAATATGATCTATGTGTGTATATAAAGGTACTACATATCGCTTGCTGGTAGCATCAGAGTTGGGAGAACGAAATTTTTATGGTCCCAGCAAAGGCATAACATGGATTGGTTGTTCAGGCCGGATGAAGTGCGGATGTAGGCAGTCTGGTCTGCATCGGATAATCGGGTGCACAGGTTGCAGGAAAAGATACGAAGGGAAGTCACTACGACTGCCAGGCGCGGCCTCAGTACCTTCAGGCCTTAGCCCGAGACCCTCAGCAGAAACCCTGGCCGCTTCACTCTGGGCCCAGCACCGGCATGTACAGAGTCACAAGCGCCCCAAGCTCTGTTCCACGAACCTGGCGACCGAATACAGTATTGTAGCGGCCTTAATCAGTAGAAACGGATGCTAGGGCACATTACAGTAGAACTACGAAGCTACTGCAAGGGGATGCTATTGCGAATGAGTATATATATATATATGCACGTATATGTGCTATAAAAAAAGAAAATATAAATAAATAAATAAATAAAGTATATATATATATATGTACATACATGTGTGTATATATATATATATGTGTATTTTCTGGCTTGGGCACCGTCTTGGCTGGCAACATATAATGCTGCGCCAAGTACGAGGGACAGTCTGCCTACTGCAAGCTTCAGACTTCTACAACAGTTAGATCACTTTGAAGGAAGCAGCGCGAAACGGTTAGAGGCGGAATCGGAGTAGTAAGAGGACGAGGAGTAAGAGTAGCAGCAGAAGTATGAGTAGTCGTAGGAGTGGCAGGATCATCAGTAGCAACAGCAGCAGCAATGGCAGCGGCAGCTTCTAGTGGCTCTGGTATTGGCGGTAGTGGCATCAGCAGACACAGCGTTAGTAAGCGGCAATCGGAATACACACATGCCCGGCCCGAGCAACATGCTATCTGCTACCATAAATTCGCTCGTGGCCTAAGTCAAAATGTGCTGACGGGAGAAGCGAAGGGAGAGGAAACGGGTGCGTCTGTGGTGTGGAGTGGCTTCTTGTTTGGATTTGCAATGTTTCAATCAACTCGACCCAGCAAGACATGGCGATTGAGCAAGATGTGGTCATCTTGCAGATAGTTGCACTGAAAGTTGCAGCATGTCTCCTTTATACTCACGCATGCTCGATGTCAAAAACGCTTGGATTGGCAAGCAGCGTTCGAGATGCAGGGCGTAGCTTTCGTAGTCTCCGTCGTCGCAGCACAGCATCAGCAATGCTTTCGCAAACCCGAAATTACAATAAGTTGTGTTGCCATGATTGCAGTGGTCGTGACAATGATTTTTTGCCGTACATTAGATTTGGCATGACCCACAAACATGTATGTCACCACCCTGATGCCAGGTGGAGCTGTTCATCAAGACAGCAATACTACCCTCCACCCCAAAACCCAAACTCCAGCCCCAGCTACCGAAAACCGCGAAAACTGAACAACGAAAAACCATAAAACCGGAATCCGAAATGCTCAACCTCCCTCCCCGCGCACGCAACCCTAAGCTTCCTAAACCCAGTGCCCCGAAACCCAACCCATAAACCCTGAACCCTAAACCCATAAACTGTAAACCCTAAACCCTAAAACCCTAAACCCTACATAAACCCTAAACCCTAAACCCATAAACTGTAAACCCTAAACCCTAAAAACCCTAAACCCTACATAAACCCTAAACCCTAAACCCTACATAAACCCTAAACCTAAACCCTACATAAACCCTAAACCATAAAGCGCTAGAAGCCCGGCGCTCCCAAAGGCCAAGCATAGCAGGAAAGGCAGCTTCGGGCAGCTGGAGCCAAGGCAGAATCCTTGGGTTCTCCATGGTTTTCTACCTAAAAAAGGGGGCCATAGCAATCTAAATATGAACCCCCAAAAGGAACTACTATGGGGCCTATGGGTAATGTAGGGGCCTTGATCATTAGAATAGGGTTTTGGGGTGTATTATGCTATAACTATACAAGAAGGAACCCCCAAAACAATGTAGGTAGTTATGAAGGCCACTATATTGAACCCTAAAACACAAAACCCTCAACAAGTGGGCAAGGCCCAGAAGCTTTGGGGCTGTGCGGGCGTGTTGGGGCTTTCGGGCTCGGATTTGGTAGGAACACATCAACTAGCAAGGCAGCCCCTCACCAAATCTTGTGAGAATGGGCAGGAGACGGCTTCGGATGCCGGGGTTTCCCTCACCTTAAAGCTACTCCAGAGGGTGCATATGGTGATTTTCCGTGTCTATTGGCTGGTCG